TGGAATACCGCTACGGGCAGTCATCCTTCAATTTTTTTTTAATCAAATCTTTATTTCCAATCAATATTTTATTAATATCTTAATATCGGGTTTATCTCTATATATAGAGAGAATCGGATCGCATTAATTGAGCCTAAGGTGTATGCAATTACTGTAGCTAAGAGAATAAAACTTGCAAACTAAAGACTTGCAAGCACAAGGTTACATAACTAATTATAAAATAAAACACAAAGAATCATGCGATCGAAACTGAAGAGTAAATTCTCTTTTTCAGACGAATTTTCTATGCGAAGCGAGGGAAGCGTCTCGTCGAATTACTACATCTGTAGTAGTTCGACCACGACGATATGTACATCGATAGTGACTCCACAGTGTGAGTAAAAAGAAACGCATTTTTATTACAACATTATAAAATTTACATTACACAGTTTATATACGGTAAAATATTCATAAAATCAGAATGCAGTTCCGAGGTGACGCGTCACGTGGGCGCCCACGAAAAATACATCAATGCGAAATACATCTAGTACAAAATAAATACATCTATATATATATATATATATGTATGTATGTGTATATATATATATATATATATATATATATATATATATATATACATATATACATATATATAGTCCGGTACATTTTTGCATCGTTTTTTATGCTACAACTAGGGGGATAGGTGTTTAACGTTATTACGGATATACTACGTTGTGGTCGCGGTGCGTTTAGTTCTCTACTCACGACTCAGCTACTCTCGACTAGTTAAAACACAATACATCGATCTCTGGCCTCTACATTGCTACATTGTCGTGTTAATCGAGTCTGAATATTTGGAATCAGTTGGTTAGACAATGCCGTTTACGTATTGGTATTGTTGTTACGAGAGAGAGAGTTATGGACACTTATTACAACACGACACCGACAAAACTTCGGGCTTTGGTCGCCCTTTTTACACGGATTACAACAGATTAATATTGTGACTTTTGCGCGTATAAACGCGAGCCGAGTATATAGCCTATTTTTCCTTTCTCCGTCCTTTTTCCTTTTTCTTTCGTGTAAGATTATGAACGATTTTGTGTACGTCCAGACGATCGAGATCGTCGCGATCGGTCGCTATGCTCGTGGAAAAAAGGCGGGTATAATCTACGTAGGTCCATAGTTGTTATGTTATTGTGAGCTCGTGTGGTCCTCAGAGTTTCGAATAAGATGCTTCTCGATGACTCAGTACAACGATCGTTAATAAGATGTGCATCGTCCGACGACGTTACTCTCTCGACGGCGTGCTCGAGGATAATGCTACGCGATACGCTTCACGTGGCTAGATTTGTTCTACATCGCATTTCGCGAAGGTACATACGTGTGTAGGAAGAAATTACGATTGCCTCGGCGATAGGCAATAAGGCCGAAACAGCGATGCAACCGGAGAAACAGTCGCGGCGTGAATCCGCGTGCCCTCTACGGAAAACTCGTTCTGCGACCGTAGCAACAACCGTAGGATTGAACAGCGGAATGCAATCAAATGCACTGAAGTAAAGCGCAGAATCTGATCGTGCTGTAATCATTTCTCCTTATTTCAATACATCTGATTCGCTGCGTTCCCCGAGACAAACCCGTCGGGACGAGCTTCTGTCAAACTGCTTGTCCGCTCGGATCTCTCAGACCTCAACGGAATGACAGAGCGAATATATGTTTCGAAGAAAACTCGTTCTGACCAATCGGCAGGAAAATCAATCAAGCCCGGAGTCAACCGAGCGCGTGGAAATAAGCCACGGAATTTGGTTTTGTGGCACGTGGAGTAAGTAGATCAGTCGATAATCGTTCATCGGCGAATGACCGCTGAATCTATGATTTATGATCTCTTTGATCGTTTAAAATAATGCAATTATATTTATTTGACTACGCACAAGCGGGTCGCTGTTATGTTTTAATTATTGCACGATTGCAGATTAAATCGAGTGTTCATAATAATCGTTGATATCAATTGAAATTACCACGAGTTTGATTCGTTTAATAACATGTTGCAGCGCATAGTTATTAAAAATTACTATTTAATGTCCAAACAATAACGAGTTGAACAAACGTAGAGAACCTAGACAATACAGGACAATATTCGATGAATATTCTGTAAATATTTTTTATATTTGGATATAGAGAATATTTATTATATTTATATATAAAGATTTTTTGTGCATTCTGTGTGAATGTACACTGTAAGAAAAAAATATCTAAGAAATAAGGAATATTTATTCCTAATGAGTACTAAAACAATATATTCACTAATATACATATATTTTTACATTGAGAAAAAGACTTCTTTCAATGAGGAAATATATATATTTTTCTAAAACATTATTGACTTTTTACAGAAGAAATTATTTATTATATTCAATCAAGAGAATTTTAGATTAAAGTAAATATTTTATTGTATATTTATGTCGACTATGTATATGTAAATATTTTTTATTCTGTATACAGATATTTTTTTTCACAGTGTACTGAGAAAGTATTGTTATATATTCACAGAATATTCGATTATATATATGTCCATGGAATAATTTATAAAATGTGGGTTGCTCACGGATTTTGCTTTTACAATCACAGAAGAACAATTTGAGTGTTACATTTCGCGGATACGTTTTATTACTGAGCTTCAATAAATGCATGTTGCTATTTAAAACATTTGAAAACTTTTCTATCACAGGGCGTTCTGCATTGCACATACGTAGCAAATAAATTTTACGAATGTTCCATAGAAGGAAATATTTTTCTCTATTATAAATATACGAATTGTTAAATATATTAAATTACTAAATATACGAATCTCTGACTGCAAAATTGCGTGTATATTCATATAACATCCAATTCGAATATTCTGAATGAATGAAAAACAATGATATTTTGCAAGAATATTCGTAGAATATTTTGCGCTGTCTGAAAAACATGATGACCGAGACGTGGCTTTTGCACGCGAAATTGCGAACAGACTTATACACGTAAAGTGATGGCTGGCATATAGCGAGAAGTAATATTCCCATCTAGCAAGGAAATGCCGAATTATCGCAGAGTTCCTCGGTACGTTCACATTAGCACGCGCGGCACTTATTTCAACGCGCCCGAGTTGTAACGATGGCCCACATACGAGCACGCATCCGAGCGTGGTGTTTGCCGAGACACGTATCCACCGCGGTCATGTCCCAAGGGGTATAATCATATCGAGTGCGTGTTCTGGCGGTAACTCGTTCTAACGAATTCGCACGAAAACGTCAGTATTAATGAAATGCGTCCGGATGATTATAGTACGGGGGCCTAATCACACAGCGCGTTTGCCATAATCGCCCTCCACTTACTCCGATGTATATGATTATTTCCAACGCTCTCTCGGTATAAATTTGTCAGAATGAGGTTTCGTCGGGACACGCATCTCCGCCATGACGGGGAACTCGTCTCGACCGGCCCGTAGATACGAATACATCAGAATTAGTCGGATGTTTCGAGTGAGCCGCGAGACGCTCGGAGAAGAATGCGAAGCGACACAATAATACACACATCGAAATATCTGTTTCATCCGGCGATGTGACTGCCGCTGCACGCAATTATGCCGGGGGAATGCGCTGGGAATGTTTCGCCGACCTGTTAGCTTAGACATCTATCTCGCCGTCTAACACTACATTACGTCTACGCTCTATCGTATCTAATACGCTACTTGGCTACACGCACGCGAGATGTGCGCGAACGTGCGAAGCGCGCGCGCTTCATTCGACAAGCCGTGGACACGCGATTCTACACATTCTAAGCACTATTCGGGTACTTGCCCGATAGCGGTATTCCACGCCGTACAATATTTTACGCCGTAAAATAAGCGCTACTCGTCAATACCTTAATCGTCAAGCGTTAACGGCAACGGCAAATCGACCGTATTATCTGATCACGCTCGAGGTGTAGACGAGCGTGACATCATTTCACCGCCACGCGTTTATCACGCGAGCGACGCTTCTCGATAATTAACACTACAGACGAAATGTCATTAGCACATCACAGAATGTCGCGATTGATGTCGAATCGTCGCTCGTTATCGATCGAGGTCTCTCCCGTTTGTTATATAAAGGGAATAAAATCACAGTTATATGCGCGAGTAACTATCGATCGCGAACGAAGCATTCTTCGACGCACGTGGATGAGAATGTAAATAAGTTATTATTCTCAATCGTGCCGCGAGATAATCGTTCAATTTTCCTTGCAACGGAACGACAGATCTCCGCGGGAATGCAAAACTTGCGCGGGGAGAGAATATTATCATTTTCTTTCATACATAAATCCTTTTCAATTTTACTGTGCTTCTCTCTAGTAGTGCAGTAATAGAATGTCAGTAAGGTCTGCCTTGCTAAGCAATGTTTCGCTGAAAGCACACACGGAGAAAACAATTTGATTGTATTTATATAAAGTTTGGTTATGATGAACGAATGGACACACTTTGATTGAAGGGAACGGGATTTCTCGTTCTTACAGCCAAATTTTGATCATATACACTGAGAAAAAAGAATTATGTAAGAAAATAAGAAATATTTGTTCAACGTGTACTACTAACATATTTATTTGCACTAATGTATATGCATTGAAAACAAATTTCTTTTAAATAAGAAAATGTATATAGTCTCTTAGTTGTTTTCTTATGAAAGCGATTGTTTATCTTATTAGGAAACAAGGTATTTAGATTTAAGCAAATATGTTATTAGTACTCATCGAATAAATATATTTTATTTTTCAGATATTTTTTTTCAGTGTAAAAATCAGAAATTCTATATGTCCTACAATCAAAACGCGCTGGTTTGTTTATTGAAACCAAACGTCACGTTAGTACAACCAAATGTTGTACTAACCTCCGTGTAGCAAATTTCGTTAGAGACACAGCAAATGTTTTAAGTTTGTATTAGTTGTATTGTCACGTGGAACTTGTCTCATACTTAGAATTTTTGTTGAAAATTGGGGTCTAATTTTTCAGTCGAATCATATGATATATGCGTTGTATCTGCAACCACGATTCAGCTGAGGAAACCTTCATCTGACTCTGGGCTCACATCTAAATATCTCAAGTTTCCAGAGAGGAATTTCAAGTAACGACTATTAATACAATCCTTGATAGCACATTTCAGTTCGTAAAATATCATTAGTATATATCAAGTGAAAATATAGCTAATTATTGCAAAATTTCTGTTCCTTGATTAAAAAATAGTACAGTAATCTTGGTAAAATTCTCTCCGTGCGTGATTGACGTTTTATCAAATCATAGTCGTCACACTTTTGTAGCAATTATATCATTACATAATTAATATATCGTATACATATATATATATATATGTATATATATATATATATATATATATACACGTATGTAACAATATCAAGTATACAATAGCAAACAAAAATACACGCTATACATTTCTGGTAGAAAAAGCTATTCCGTGGACGGACACCGCATAAAAGCTAGAATAGTTAGCGCTTATTTCGACGTGGCGTGCGAGCATTCGAAGAAAGCGAGGGAATTTACGCATCTCGCTCGCGGTGAATCGTACAAGATGATAGATAACGAAGCAGGTCTTGATTAGGGGAAATTTTACAAGACGCGATCGTATGCAATGCTCACGGCATCGCGGGGCGGATTGTATATGGAGGAGCATGTAGTGCCTGTGTCGATCTTCCTATTCGCCCGCATACCCGACATTCATATCTCGTCAATATTCTCCTACGCATATCAATAAATACATTCAGAAACGCATAGCTACGTATCGCGCGCGCGTTTTCGCCTACACACATGCACGCACCACACATGTACATACACACACACGCGCGCGCGCGCACACACATTCACATACATACACACACACACACAGCGGCGAATAGACACATATACGCACAATTCAGGGATACAGCGTACGTGTATATAGACAGGATATTTACTTAACTTAGGTGCTTACTCGCGAGTTAGCGCTAAGGCAAGTACGCGAAGCAGACGTTCAAGCAAAGCCATTTAACTACGAATTTCCCCTATCTCGAACTTGCAAATTTGTTACGGCATTGTACACCGATGGAGAAATGCTCGATCGAACGCGCGAGTCTCGCGCGCGCACGCGCGCACCCCGAGATCGTGAAACGACGAGGACGCGCGAGACGGTGTACACGCGATCTTCGGATACACGTTCCCGTTGCGGGCTGTCCCGGATATGAACGAAGTGGACAATAAAAAACGAGTACAGTCGGGAAAAGTAGTCACGAGAAGCTAGTTCCTGGTCCCATTTCTCAAACACTATCGCCAGCGGCATTCGCCATCCCCCCTCTCTTTCTCTCTCTCTTTCGGCGTTTCTCGAAAACCCGATTTTGACGGCAAGGAACTTTTGACAAATTCTCCCGCCGTGCCGAATGTTTCTCCCTTCCCTCCTCTCCCCCTCCACTTCGCATATTTGATCAACGCGCGACCACTCGCCGGATTGTTTTATCAAAGTTCCCGTCGCGAAAGACGCTTAAATTTCAATTTCAAATTTTGCACACAACGTCCGCGAATCGCTGGTAGCCGAACTTAGCACTTTGTAAGACGATTATCTTAGAATATCAAAACCGTTTCCATCAGATCCGACAAGACGTCGCTTTCTACGTTTAATTTCGTTTACGGGGACACGCGCCGCGGGAGCATTATCTCGCATAATCGAATTGGCTGAGCTAAATTTCGGGTGATGTGTGCAAAATTTTACGATACTTCACGCGCATACTCGCATACCGTACCGTAATTCCGGCCGAACAATCATACCTAAAAGTGTGATCACAGATTGACAGAAGGCGTGTAAAATACGACATTATAGATACACACAGTCACGAGACACGCTGTGTTGCGGTAATTATCAATTAATAAATACAGTCGTAAGACGCGCGCGAGTTTATGTACAATGAATAACACGTGTGCGCAATTATATTTGTATAAATCTCGAAACGCAGATGGCGAAACTAGAGAATTTTCTGCGAGGAAGAACGAGATATTTGATTTTGTTCGTGTGCACGGAGAGAATATTATAGTTTTTTTTTTCGTTTTCCATGTAAACTCTTTTTAACCTAACTATGTTTCGAGTGTGGCAGGAATAAAAACTGTCAGTAAGGTCTATTTTGCTACTGCTAAAAATAAATTTCGCTAGGAACATAGCAAATTTTTTAGCAACATATTTTCTAAAATAAAAATAGTACGTGTGAAAAATGAAAAAATAATTAATTATTATTGAATGTCGATTTATATATTTCCCTTGGTTAAAAAATTATAATTTTTATAATTTTTTCATATAAAAATTCTTTTCAATTCTTTTCAATTTTACTATGTTTCTAGTAGTGCAGGAATAGACTTGAGTCAATGAGACTTATTTTGCCACTCAGTAAATTTGCCACTAGAATCATAACAAATTTTTTAGCAACATATTTAACTTTCTGAAATATAAATGGCACGTGCGAAAAATGAAAGGATAATCAATTCCTTCAAAATGTCAATGTATTTCTCGGTTAAAACACCTCAATTATTATTTTTACAACTTTTTCCCTTGCATAAATTCTTTTCAATTTTACTACATATTTCTGGTAGTGCAGGAATAGACTACTAGCGAGGTCTGTCTTGCTAGGAAACTCAGTAAATTTCGCTAGAAACATAGCAAACTTTTTTAGTAACACATTTTAGTTTCTAAAATATAAATGATACGTATGAAAAGGATAGTAATATAATTACTGCAGAATGTCGATCTATTCCTCGGTTAAAAAGTTCTAATTATAATTTTTACTATAAAATTGTTAAAATTTTTAAAGTTTCTCAAAATTTTTAAAATTCTTAAAAATTCTCGTAGGTATTGCCATAAAATTCTCTCCGTGTTTTAATCTCTCCTGACTTACTTAAATTAATCGCGAGTCTTCATCGTTTTCACACCTCGTGGAATTTTGTTTCGCGATATAGTTTCGCTTCTCCTAGAAACCGCATCTAGTTCCGCCACTACAAAGTGTCTATCCAGTTTGTCGAACTAAGAGTAACGCGTGAGTTACATTGTTGCTTCGGGAACTCGGTGTATCGATACAGCTGATATTGTTTTCTACCGTTGTTATACGTCAGATTATTAAGTAATAATAGAATACTCAAACAGACAGACTTTCATCAGACAGTGAAATTCTTCAAATCAAATTATCACTCGTATATTCAAGTATAAATCTTCAGTTCATTATCATCGAATACGCAAAAATCAAACGGAATGGAATCTAAAATCGAGTCTAAAATCTAAAGAGGAATGCAGTCGTGTAATTTCATATATCCATCGTAATTTGTTAAAATGCATCATACACTGCCCACGTAGAGAAGAACAAATGAACGTCTCGTACTAGACATATATACACATACACGCGCGTACACGTATGCACACACATATACACGGTTACACACTAACAGACTCTCTCTCTAGAGAGAGTTTCGAGTTCTCATTTAGAAATTCTCTCCTTTAATTTTCTCTTTCGCCTCGTTTCTCGCAAAATAACCGCAGTAGAGCTGCACGAAGATGCCACCTCGTTGGTTGGGAGTAACCAGAATCCCTTGTGGATCTCATGCAAATTTCGCGGCCGAATTGCGACACCCTCAAGTCTCTAGTTATTGTAATTGGTATCGTAAATTCCGAAATTGATATCACACATCGCGTATTAAAGCTTACTTTTCCTTCAATCGCTCTTTCTCTCTCTCTCTCTCTCTCTCTCTCTCTCTCTCTCTCACACACTCTCTCTCGATCGAGTTAACGAACGTCGCTAATTAATGTTTTATTCGTCCTCTCGAGAACACGTTTGCGATAAAAATCCGGTCCCAAAGTGTTCGATAAAAATCATGATCGTGATAAAAAGTTTGATTAGTACGGGAGGAGTAGCTCACCGGGCAGGACTACTAGTCGCAGTGGAGAGATTCTCTTTGCCGGAGAAATATTGTTGAACCTAAAGTCCACGCGAGGATCATAAATTTTTAGATAACATTGCTCCGTGTCACGCGAGGCACCTTCCACCACTTTTATATCCTCTGCCCCCCGATATGCGAATAAAAAGACCCGACGCTTATCGTCGTAACGCGATCATCATTATTGTTTGTCGATCAACGGATACACGGCTCCATTACACGTCTCGTTCGAGATGTCGAGCGTGTAATAGCGCATTATCAATTAGATGCTCCACAGAGATTCGCGTGGAAATTTTCAGACACACACACACACACACACACACACACACACATATGAGCGTGTATCACGTGACTACTTTCTATATTATCTTGTTTTTTTTTTCTTATTTTTCTAACAGACACACGACATACGACACCGTCGACATTACATTTTGATTATGATGTTTTTCAGCACAATTACGAATTAGACTGAACTGCATTTGGATATACGGTCATACGGTTAAGAAGGGTACATACATATCTTTTACATACGCTTACTTCGACTTCCGTAAATAGAGTTATCAACTAAACGACGATACGGAAATGCAAGTGAGAGGCGATGTTAGCCGACCACTTTGCATTTCACACAGATACGCGCGATAATGCCACGCGCTTCTTACTGTTAATCGGTAAAGATACGTATATACAATAGAGTAAGTCTCGAAGTGTAAAGCATGACAGAGATATGTGCTCGAGTACACGATTAGCGATAATCGAAGCCGCGATCGTGTGAAGTGCGTTGTACCAAGACACAAAGATGAACTTGCTCCGTTCGATGTGTGCCCGATAAAAAATTATTGGCCGTTCCTTGTGCAATATTAGCGCGCGCGACGTGTGTTGCCTGAAATCCCGTCACGCGTTACAGAGACACCTCTCTTGTTTCGAGAATCCACCAATCAAATGAAATCCGCGTTAACTCAGATAGATCGCGTTAACTCAGCTACTCGGTACATCATCCAGACTCGACTTCGCTCCGAGACGCGAAATTATTCGCGGACGAGAGTAAAAAATGCAAAGTACAAATCGACGACCGCTCAGGGCCGTCGGCGAAAAACGCCGGAATGGATTGCCGAAACAAGTCCGGGGAGTATCGGGCGCAAATCCGATACTCGCGATCGCAGCTGCGCTTGGCGTGTGTGGACGGAGCGAGCGCATTTTCGCGTAGAACGAATACCGGTGTCACTCGAGCGAGTGTCCTTCAGTGAGACGCCACTAAATAAATCGCGATCCCTGAAACAGCGCACCGTCCCGAGGAGCGCGACACGGCGAAGCGAACGCTACGTAACAAATTACCCAGCCGGGCTGAAGAATGGCGTCGTTTTCCAGAATAATTGGCACGACAATATTCACCGACCGATTACACGAAATACGCGAGGAGCTTCGGGACGATCGAATCGCACCAAGACACGAGTGTCCTCGCGTTAATCTCCCGCGTATCCCCCTCGCTTTCCCTCCCCCTCTCTCTCTCTTCCCGCTCGTCGTATCTCGTTCGCGTTTTTCGCGTCGATATGGTATTATCGGACGTGAGTTCTCACGCTTTTCGTTAAATCCAGGTTACACGTGGACGCCTCTCGGTTGTATCTCAAGGTCACGAGGGCAGTAATGAGCACCGCGGCGTACCTGAGTCGAAATTTTGATCCTACTTTCGACCTCAGTATTCCGTTTAACGCCTACCTTAGCTGGTACATTGAAACTTGTATTAACCTCTGTTAATTCTATTTGATCTGCTAACCTTGCCGGGAGATCCTCTTCTGAACTTACAAGTAGCACTTTGTGCGTTTCCTACCATTTTAGAGGCGCTAAATAGGATTTCAGTTCCCATGTGTATTATATATACACAGGGACACAGACGTTAGAAATTCAGACTCAAAGTTGGATTAGAATTTCGACTTGGGTATTCCTCGATACTTTGATGACTGAGGACGATTAGTCGCAGCCAGATATGTCTAGACCCAAAATACGCAATTGGTTACTTCAATCGAGAATCACGCTTCGTGCGATATGTAAATTTATAAAATGAAGTAGCGAGGGGAGGCAACGTGTCACACGGACCTTCACTTTCGGCGCGAACGGCGATATAATCCGTTTGCTGGAAGACGCGTGAGAACGTGCCCGTCAAGACGATGCAATTTTGAAGGAGCGAATGTGCTTACGCGCTTACGTAAGCGTTATGGTGTTGGATTCATTATTTGTCGATCCGTCGCGTTCCTTAGCGAAAGAAATCTTACGGTCGATTTATCTCATATTGATTGCACACCTCTTATATCTCAGAAACGAGATATTATGGAAAAAAGTGTGCCAAACAAAGATCTGGTTCCAAGGGAGAAAGAAGATGACAATATGCACTTGACCACGAAATGACCTTGGAAAGACCTGCCAAGATCAATTTTAATTTTTTGAACGGAATCATATGGTTTTTATAATACATACACACATCAATTCCTCTAGTCATTTTGTACACAAAAGCGTTAAAGTGACGTCATGAAAAAACAAATATTCCGCGAAATATTTTGTATCTTGTACTAAAAAATATCAAAATAAAATGAAAAGTATCTCGGAAAATATTCACTTTTTGATGATTTTATTCCAGTTCCTTTATACACAGAATGATCAGAAGAATTGTTTCGTTAAGGAAGAATTGTTTCGCTAAGAAAGCCACATGAGATTTCACTTAAAAAATTGAAATTGATGTCGACAGCTCAAGTTCATTCTGAGATCAAGTGAATATCACTATCTTTTGTCCCTTTTTATACAATTTTTGCTTGACACACGTTTACTGTATTGTCTTGTTTTTGAGATGCTCGAGGTGTTCAATTAAAATGGAACGGCCTGTACAAGGCGATCCTTAAAATTTACGTATTTTTGCTAATAAAGTCAGCCATTACAGTACTTGGCTCACGCCTTGATCCTCCCTTGATCGAAAGTACCTTTCCTGCAAGCGACCGTGCTCGATTTACATAATAAATGACTGGAAACTGCTTTTCCCTGCCTTTTTTGACAGGATCTCGCTAAATTGCCGAACGTCGAGATCGACACGCGAGCCAAGTACTGAAAGTTTTAACCAATTTTATTGCCATCTTTATCATCGAATCGCCCCTTCTTAGCCGATCCACGCGACTTCCACCTCGTTACCGAGATGTTATTAACTTTGGAGGATGATGAGCGCCGCCAAGTACCTCTTTAAACGTTACGGCATTTTCATCTACCGGCCGACTTGCTGCTGCAGCACAGCCGCCATAATTCGGGATGTGGTGTTCGCGCGCGCGCGCGCGCGACGCTGCTGGCGTCTTCGTTAAGCTTAAATCTCACACACATAGCGAACTTATAGTGCACCGGCGTAAATTACTTCCCGGCGGCGCGGGCGCATATAACTTCGGCCGGCGGCCTCCCCTTCCATCGCGGAATGCCAGTAAGCTCCGTCGAGAAATTTAATCGAGATTGGGAAAACCTTATTTTCCCTCTGGCCCGCGTCTCGCGTCTTGTCTCGCAGCCGGATAAAATGCTGTCGCGAGTGAGACACTCGTCTCCCCTTGCTACAAGATGGTATCTCGCGGAAACCAGAGGGGATTCCCGCTTCTCCGCCGAAAAAGGACGCTTCGCGATAAATGAGAAAATGCACAACATCTGAAAATAAAACGTCAAGTCCGACAATACTGGGGGAAATAGGGTCACGAGTAATCAATTACTTTCTCAATTTATCATCGTGCATAATTGGCGATCGATATGACCTAATTCGATTGGGAGCCGTTTAATTGACAATTGATTTCAACAATTTCGCAATCGCAGACTGACGATTGATTTCAACGAATTCAATTAAAGACTGTTCAATTGACGATTGATATGAGCGCGAGAGGTATTAAAGATTGCTCAATTAATAATTAAATAAATTTAATTAAAAGCCGTTTAATTGAATTTATAGCAGATTTAATTGAAGGTCGCTCAATTGACGATTAATATGAGCAAATTCAATCGATCAAACATTGCTTAGTAACGATTGATATGTGCCCCCTCCCTCCCTCCCTCCCTCAACGTGGGTTCTACTTAGCGCTTTTCGATCATTAGCATCTTCCATGACATCTCCCCCTTTTCCCACGATAATCCCTTCAGGTATGAATATTATGCACAAAACTGTAACAAATTATAACGTTGAGTATTGATTCTTCGATGAAATTGATTGAATTTCGATTAAATTGAAAATCGATCGAACTTGCTCATATCGATTGTCAATTACAGCCTTCACGTAATTCAATTAAACGGCCTTCAATTAAATTCTCTAAATTCAATCGTCAATTAAACGGCTTTTAGTTGAAATATGCTAAATTTAATTTTTAATTGAACGATTTTTTGTTCCCTTTGATCATATCAATTGTCAATTGAACAGTCTTTGATTGAATTCGTGGAAATTAATCGCCAATGAAACATTCTTTGATCGATTTTGTTCGAATCAATTGTCAATTGAAGTCGAATTGAAATATAATCGTTGAAATTAATCATTAAATTGAGAAAAATTTAATTAATTGCAACTCTGACTGGGAATAGCTGGTGAATTCCACGACGCAGTCTCGCTCGCGGAACAGAAGTAGCCTGCCGTTGTCGGGCTACAAAAAAAACTGATCAGCGGACATTTTCGACTCTCTCGTGATCAGGACTGCGATCCAAGCGGTAATTTCGAGACATTTCGCTGACTCGCTTGATACGCGTGATACCGAGAGCTCCGACAGGATCGTGATGCACAAAAATCCGTAGATACCGTTTGGCAAACATTTTCTCTGGACGGCAACCATTCGTATTGGCGTCGGAAGTGCTGGATGCACGCTTTCGGACTCTGTACGTCCCTCTCCCGAACTCGGTGATCCTCGAATTCATCATCAAACGGACAACTTTCTATTAGAGACGACGTTCGCTACGTCACGCGAGACATCCTTAGAGCCGATGTTTTCCCTCGGGTTTATTAATTTGCGGAAGATAATATCGCGCGCGCGGAAGCCATTGTTAACGATCCCGTTGAAGAATAACCCCAGCCCGCGGATAGATTAGACTGACTAGAAGAAAACGGGCGATATATATCCGTCAGCGCGGCAGATTTATGCGACGATGTCAACGTCTCTCCGACCATGCTGAGACCGGTGGTTTTCGCCTGAAAGGACTCGCTTCTGGCATCCCCGTAAAAACGAAAAGAGCCAACGTAAGAATAATTCCGTCGGTATAGTTGGACGAGCCGTGAGGATCGAGGGAGACAAACCAATTAATACTCCCTGTAAGGCCATACCGGATAGGTAGCCTCCCGGTGAGCGACGGCGTCGTTTGCGCGTCGACGCGACGACGGCCGGCCGGCCTCGCAAAAACGAAGCGTTGTTTGGTCGCGAAAGCTCGCGTCGTGCGGTACGGCTAAAACATCTTCATCGGGAGCGTTCCCTTTCGCGCTCGATGCCGCGATCCTGCGCGCCCGTCTCGTCGTATCGACCATACTCTAGAGCTCGTGGATCTCACGACCATTGGGCCTATCGCCGGCCTGACGGCAGGACGCCGGGCTCGCGTACGAGTGAATGATGTGCACCCTGAGGCGCACATCGCCGCGCGGCCTCCTCGAGAAGCTCACCGTCTTGCAGCAGCAGTAATGAAAGAGCTTGACGTAAGCGCTGCGAAAGTGGCGGTCCGCCACGCCGTAGAGGATGTAGTTGAAGCAAGATTTGGTCAGGGCGAACCAGGCCAGGTTGTAGAGCACGCGGGAGCTAATCGGCATGAAAGAGTTGATGCAGACTGCCAAGCCGAACGGTAGCCAGAACACCACGAACATCAAGTAGCTGCACATGTTCGTCTTGGTGAGCTCGTAGTCCGCCGAGGTGGCGGCCGGCAGTTTGTACGAGCCCCGTGTGGCGCGTCGTATACATATCACCAGCTTGACGAACAGGAAAATCGTCACCAGAGCGGGCAGTCCGACCAGCACACTCGCGCCTATCACCTGCTCCATCGTGATGCCGCTGAGCCTGCGGCGACAAAAATCGGGGCCCACATTCAGGAACGATTGCAGGACCACTGCGATCACGGCAATCATCCACACGGCGATGATTGTGGACGTTACGTGACATGCCGTCAGGCTGGCGTACCTGCGGAATTAAGATGTACTGCTATAAGTGTCGATAAGTGTAGAGGAAATTATCTACCTACTCACACACACATACATATATAATATGAAAAAATAATGCGAAAATGGTATGAAAATCTGAGTAACTTTTATTAAATTACTATTTACACCAATATGATAAAAAAAAACATGACAAAAAGTTTATATTATTGTATGATATGAATTTAATATGATTATATATATATATATATATATATATATATATATATATAAAATTCCATAAAATATCCCGAATATTCCGAACTTCCTTTTACTGACAAAAGTGCTTCTAGATGTACTCTTTAGCCAATCAGAAGGCATATATAAGTCACATATATAAGTCACTTTTGTCGATGAAAGAAAGTACAGGATTCAGTCATAGATTTGCCTCATAAGTGTAATGAAAAGTTTATATAGTGTCCATCGTCATCATCTCGCATCGTGATGATCATGAAAGTCTATCCAGGTATGAGGTTTCTCGATTGTCACGACACCAGAACGCGAGACACGACTATTGGCCTTTTTTTCGCTCGTTCCAACGAAACGTTTTTGTCGTCTCGCAGTCTTGCGTGTTACGGATATTAATAAATAAAGATGGCCATGTGTTAAATTATGTAATCGAGACGACGTTCCGAAGGCGCGTAAATATAAACTGTCAAGACGTCGTCAGCTCGGTTACCATTGCATACACGCGAACTCGCGCGCGCACACACCACGTACATCAGCGGATAATTCTCGAGGGAATAACAGAAGATAATATGTAACCTCGTGGATGGATGTTTTCCTCTTAATTGCATCGCGAGCTTGTTTAAGTCCCGAGTTTCTTATACGGTCGTATTCAATTAAAGAAAATATTTCCCCTCTCCCTTCCTCCCCCCTCCCGGTGATACACCGCGACTGCAATTACGGAGTTGGTCGTACTAGTCTGTGGATTAACGAGGGGGCTTGAAAAACGAGTCGGTAGTTACGGAGTTAGCGGTGCTGGCGGACGATTTCTCGTTTACAATGCGAGGAAACTTCCCCGAGTCCACGTGTTCGCTGTGATTCTTCTGACGCGGCCGGTTAAAATACTTGCTGTAACGCCGTATTGTCGCGAAACTTTTCGCGTGTGTATGAAAAGCGTCGTTGTCGTCGTTCTCATCGTCATCGTCGTCTCCCTCGAGGATCGTACGTTATCGGTTACGGATTCCGGTAATTCAAGCTAAAGAGAACGTCGCCCGGAATGCGAAATTACGAACTCGATCGTGACGCTGATAGAGAACCGGGGAAGCACTTCAACATCAAACCCAAAGTTCCAAGCACTGGTCGCTGTGCGCTATTATATGCGATGGCTTAAACTGATAACAGTAATTTGATTTCTACTCTATTCGCTGTGTTTACATCAGCCCACATCCACCCGACGACGTTAACCATCGCGAGGTATTTTACCGCGCGGATACCACGAGCGATGCGATCTGGCCGGACGCGTATTATGGCATTATCGTTTCCTCTCTTCAATGTTATAATAGCATTAGTCGTAGCACTCTAAACACATTAGCCCGAAAATATTTACGTTCACCGGCCCGGAAAAGTATCTAAGCTCCGGCATTATGAGCAAATTGAGCGGCGAGCGCGGAGGCAACCGGATAGAAAACGGTTTTAAGAAGCATGAGAATTATCGATTTCCCCGTCCAACGCGCTTCACCTTTCTGCCGGTAAACAGGCGCGGTCATAATTTTCTTCCCTTTATTGTCGCCACTGGCGATACCTCGACCATGTACTCGAACGATGACCCGGCTTGCTTGTATCAGTGTATTTAGGGTGTTGCCTTAGAAACACCCGGCTAGTGAAGATATCAAATTCTAATAGAATAAATGCAGGAGAGGCCTCCATGTCACGTATGCACGATACTTCCTCACCCTCCTTCTCGCCCTGAAAATTACTACACGACTGTTAGCGGCGGCATTGAGATCTGTATTTTAATAATCGTTACTTGAAGCTTGTCTCACGTAAGATATTCGGATCTTTTGGAATTATATTTGGAGCTTTTACTTTGAAATCGTGGAATTTAAAGTTATGTATATTTGAGTTTTTTTTTTTTTATTTGAAACATGATGTATGCGACATTACATTTTGTAATCGCGAATCCAGGTAAAAGCTCGTGTTTACACATAAATTCAAATTCGAGAACCGTATTAATAGTCGTTACTTAAAACTTATCTCAATTGAGATACTTAGGCCCGTGTCATTACTTGACACTTGTCTCACGTGAAATATGAATTTAGAGTTAGATTTGAGTCTCTTATTTAAATTATGTGAGATATGCAGCATAACATTTGTAATCGCATATATTCAGCTGAAAAACTCACATCTGACTCTAAAGTCAAATCTGAGGCAATCTTACCTAAGGCAAGTTTCAAGCAACGACTATTAATACGGCTTTTAAATTTGAATCTAGAGTTAGATGCAAATTCTCCAGTTGAATGGCGATTACAAATGTAATGTCGCATATATTATATAATTCAGATAGAAAAAACTCAAATCTAACTTCAAATTCAGATGTATCTCATGTGAGGAAAATTTCAAGTGACGACTGTTAGTGCTGAATCGCGGAGATCCACCGCCACAAAAACGGATGGAAGCGATATTACGTATGTATTCTTCTTTTTTTTTTGTTTCTCCTTTTTCCTTTCCAGAGAATTGTTATATAAATTTCTCGATAGTCGTTAGCGGAAGTATCGCAGTGAGTTGTTAGGACAAAAACGGCCCCGGCAACAGAACAAGAACGTGCATGCGTGGGGAATTGCGGAGCAACGTGGTATCGATTGCTCGGGATCGCCGCTACACTCGCTTTATCTTTCGGCTGGCAAACAGTTAACACAAGCGGGCGTAATTTTCGGCCGCTATTGTCGCGGACGGCGGTAAGGCCACCGGGGACCAAAGAGCTTTACAAGCGCAGCCTTTGGTATATATGTTACGACGAGACCGCGCGCGCCACAAATGAAGACCCGCCTGCAAGAAGCAGATAGCCTCGCGCCTTTGATCGAAGTGAATTATTTACATGGAAATGGAGACAATCCCGCGCTGCACGGGATAATGCAAGTGTTTATTAAGGCAAATTGTTAGTTGGTAGTCGCGCGGCAGTTTGATGAGCCTTGGAGCTTGTTTGCGCGCTAACCATAAATGGATTTGACTCCATCTTCTCACGTATCGGCTCTCTCACGTATAGTAGCTGTCTCTCTCTCTCTCTTGTAGGATAAAATTGATCCTTCTCGCGCCTTTTCCACCCACGTCCGTCTTTCCTTATCCTCCTCCTCCTACTCTCTCACGCGCTCTTCGAACAGACTCGGCTATATCCCTCGCGTAATTTGCGTTTCAGTGAAAGACGTGTCCCGGGATCCCGCGGTTTTGAAATTGAGAACGCGCGAACGAGCGATTTATGAGCGGCGGGCAATTCGACTTTCTAATGGAGTTGATGTGTGTGTGTATGCGCTGTCGCCGGCAATTTCTTCGGTATGTCGTGTCGTCCGAATCGAAAGAGAGAAAATAGAAAGACAGAGAGAGAAAGAGAGATTGATAATATTACCCCTTCGGAAGATATATCAAACAATTCGGTTCGATTAACCGGCCGAAGCGAGGCGCTGCGCGAAGTTGTTTATTCGGCTATCGAGAGCCGCGCGGCCGCAGCCGGTAAAATTCGCGTTAAAAAGCCCGCCGCTTTTTACCGAGCCAAAAGAGTGGAGCCCCTTTTTCGCCGGCCTTTGCGCGAGCGAGAGTTTGTTAGTTTTTGCGGAGGCCCGACAAATCGAGGCACCCCTAGGGTTCGATCCATTTTTCATGCCACCCTGCGGGACAAATAACAAACTTTGTTAACGATTACACCGCGTACATCAGTAACGGCTGTCCCTCGAAGCGGAAGACCGAAAGAGAGAGGGAGAGAGAGAGGGAGAGAGAAGGAGGGAGAGAGAAAAGGAAAGAGAGAGCAAGAACGGGCACGCTCGTGTCTTGTTCCGGAAACGGACCGCTCAATTAGTAACCGACGAGCGCCACCTCGTAAACAAAGCGCGTGGGTTAAAGGCGATGCTTTAAAGGACCCTCTCGACGGTGCGACACGGCGTGGCGCGGCGCGAAAGAAATCGAGGCGCGTTAGCGAGCAAAAAGCACCCAGCACTCGCAGGAACTGCTGGCGACTATTGATCGCGCCGCCGCCGCCGCCACCGCCGCTGCTGCTGCTGCTGCTGCTGCCGCCGCCGCCGCCGCCGCCGCCGCCGCCGCCGCCGCCGCCGCTCACGTCTGCTATATCTTTTCGATCGCCGAAGCCGGTACTTAATTCGATGGCGGATGGGCTCTCCTGTTTCCGCTGTCGCTGACAACGCGTTTCCCCGTCTCCTTCGCGTCGGCCCGTCGACGCACGGGCGCGAGCGAGTTGCCCGCGACATCGGTAAGGAATAAAGAAAAAAAGGGAAAAGAGAGAGAAAGAAAAAAAAAGATATTCCGGATGAGACGACGCGATAACGGTAATAGCAGACTCGTCTGGCCGAGCAGTGGCAGTTACAGGGTTGTAATATTGATCGGGCACACCGGGTCACCGTTCGTGTCCAGAGTTGGATTCGCGCCATTCCGACGGTCAGACGAAAGGTCAGCACCGTTGCCTACTATTTTCGCAATAAGCTGATCAATCTGCCGCTCGGCGGGCTACCAGGGACGCTTCATTTTTGCGACATCGCGCGGCGGCGGCTCCGTCGGCTGTGTAATCGTTAACACGCGGGACGGATGCGCGGCCATTTGTATTCGGTCGCGCGCGGGAAGGAGTTCTTTTTTTGCGCCTCCCTCCCCCACACCCGCGGTATATAAATCGTGACGCGCGAGAAGTCATGAGCGATAATTAATATGATATTTTGGTCGAACGCGCGGGCGCGCGGGACGAGAAACGGGGCTTGTATTATTACGCATTCGGACGGCGCGTCATGAAAGCCAAACTAGGAAACATTTTAATCCGGAACTGTGTCTATGCGCAAATGGAAATGTCACAGCAAATGAATTTGCATAGAAAGTTGGAGTTTTGCATATAAATGGTGCCGGACCAGATACAATGTGTGTCATTACTTTAGAATTGTGTTTTCGCGCTACGGAACGCTATAATCGTATTGCCTAGAAAACGCATAAATATATAAAATATTGAGTAACCACCGCATTATGAAAGTGATATCGCGCATTTCGCTCGCGACTGTTCGAAATTATGACGCCATTAAATAGCGCGTCGCATTCCGCGCTATCGCTGATCGTTGTCCAACACAAAAATAGAAAGTATTCCAGTCATATCAGAGAGTAATACGTATTTTTTTGTGTCTTTCTTAAGATAATAATTATATAATAAATCAATATTAATTATTAATTTAATTCATATTGCATTTTTTTTAATAACACCATATAGACTTTCGTAATTATCACGACGTGAGAAAATGGAAAAACTGATTTTTTAAATTAAATTTACAAGATAAATGTATTATGTGTGTGAATCAATGATTAAATTCATACATCATATAATAAATTTTCCGTTATATTTCCGTAATCTTCCGTTAACGCAGTAAAAAATGTATAAAAAGTTATATTGTATGAGTTTATATTGCATTTTACATGACATATTATATTGAGGAATATAATATGATATTTAATGATTTTTTTCGTATTTCTATTTCGCTATCCTATGATGATTAATATAACTGTTATATAAAGAGATATAAGGAAATACAATCTTTACAAATTGATTAGTAAATACGGTAAATTGATAAGTTCTTAGACAAACTTTCGTGATCATCACGTGAGCCACATACAATCGATGATGGAAACTCTACAATTGTTTTAATTATATTTATGAAGAAAATATACTGAATTAATCATTAAACTTCATACATTAATGTAAGTTTTTTGTTGTATTTTCTAAAAGTTACATTCAGACTTTCATGTTACATTCTGCGTAACAGATTTTCATGCTACATTGTTTTAAGCAAATTTTAAAAATTTCTTTCGTACTTCTCCATTTTGTCATTCTATAATCTATAATAACAGTCGTTACTTGAAATTTGTCTCTAGAAATTTGTCTTATAAGAATTCAGGCTCGTATTAATAGTTATTACTTGAAATTCGTCTCAAGTGAAATGCTCAGATTTAAATATAGAGTTAGATGAGAGTTTTTCAGTTGAATCGCGATCATAGATACAAATATCACATGTATAATAATTCAATTGAAAAACTTGGGTCTCACTTTGAATAAAAGTATCTTATTTGAAAACACTTTCAAGTAATGAATACTAATATGGGTCTTAGATTCTAATTTAAAGTTCGATGCGAGTTTCTCAGCTGAATCTCGCGATTACAAACATAATGTTACGTATATTATATATAATTAAAATAAAGCACTCAAATATTAAACTCCAGACTTGAGTACCTCGCGTGAAACAAGTTTTAAGTAACGACTATTGATATGAACTTATGTAATAAACAATGGAGTATCATGTGTGAACCACTCGTAAGAGGTACAACCTTTACAAATCGATTGGTAAAATCGCTGCAAAATTTACGTACACTTGTACATAATCTGCGTATAATCGAGATAATTTTTGCCATTAAACATAAATATGAATGGAAAATCTGTAAACCAAGAACACTCGAGAGATTTTGGCTCCGAAAATTTCCAGCATTCGTCTTCGAGATTTTCGAAGCATCCTCGATTTTATTGGGAGCAATGATTCGCTGTGACATCAAAGTACATACCTCGTTTCTACAAATTTTAGGAGTATATTTTCGACAAAGAATAGCTCGTCTGAACGTGACCGACAATGCAAGCAATCGGAAAATACGTAAAAATAGAGAAACGACCTAACTGCAGTCGGGCTGTTCTTCTCAGACGGAACCTCTCAATTCCTCGTGTTATACACACCAGGCTCGAATATCACGAAGCTACAAAAGGGAAGCTACAAAGGGGGATAAAACAGACGGCAGAATGAGACACGACCGTGATGTCACGTGACAGTCGACGCGTTAAATTGCGGGAACACCCCTTTCACGCGGGTCTCCCTCTCAGTCTCACTCTCTGTCCATTTCTACTGTACCTCTCAGGCAGACACAGACGTGCGTAATTTTCGGCGGCGATTGTGGCCAGCGTCAGTACGGTCACTAGGAAGCAGAGGGCCTCGAGGGTCCACTCGAATCGGCAGGTACTCAGGGACTCCGTGTGGCCCGCCAGGATTACAATCACCGAGACCGGTATTATCAGGCCGGTCACCAGCAGGTCCGCCAGCGCCACGTTCACCAGGAAGGCGTTTCCTGGAAAAAGAAGCCGCGTGAAACTCATTAGAGTAATTAGCTCCTAGCAGTTCTTGCGATCTGGAAACACTCGAGAGAGCCGGCGTTCCGTGCTTTTTGCGTTCGCGCTATGTCTACCGCGAGTACGTTCTTGGCAGATGTTGTATCCCGACTAATGTTTCCTTATCTCGCGATAATCTCAAAATTGCTCGGAACAATGTCTAAATTAATACACGCTTATGCCGCTTATGTCGAGAGAGTCGTGTAAGCTCAGTTTCGAAAAACTTGCTGGAGTAGATAACCGGCTTATCCCACGAGTCGAAATTTCGTTTCCACATTAATTCTATAAATTCATTGGAACTTGGAGGACATTGTATAGGTTCGTATCTCACCTTGATGCAATAAATGGTTACTTTGGTGATATTTTCTCTGTGTCTCGAATTATCTTTAGGGAAGGACTTACTTCAAAATGTATTATTATATAATTGTATTATTATATTTTTTTTATATTTATTTTTATATTATTATGTTTTACAAGTTTATATTACTTTAATAAAAATTAATGGGCAAACATAAGTAAATAAGGAGAAGTAAAGCAACAAATTTTTCATTTTTTCATAATTACTGACATCTTATATCATATTAAATAATTTTTAAATGAGTCGATCTTAGAAGCCTAAACATAGATACAATTTTTCAAACGTTAACATTCTTAAAAATATGTTTTTCTATTATAAATTTTTGTACATTACATTGAATCGCAAAAACATTGATAGATTCATATTCTTTGATATTTTCTACATCGTGGAGAAAAAAGCATTGAATTTTAATCATTGTTTGGAGTATTTTTTTACCCTCTGAACATTGTAAGATTTCAACATGATTAGGACAATATCTATATGTATTATCAATTATATATATTATTTGAACAAGACGCGTAATTCAATGTCTTCCTTTGCCTTTTGCACGTGAGCGGACTAAGTATACAAAAACAAATTAAAACAATACCCGAAGATCTATAACAGTTGGGACTCTCTTTTAAAATTTTATCCATGTTTAGACTTCCAAGATCGACTCATTTAAAAATTATTTAAAATGTTAGCAATTATGAAGAAATGAAAAATTTGTTGTTTTACTTTCGTTTGCCCATTAATTTTTATTAAAGTAATATAAACTTGTAAAACATAATAATATAAAAATAAATATAAAAAATATAACAATAAAATTATATAATAATACATTTTAAAGTAAGTCCTTCTCTAAAGATAATTCGAGACAGAGAAAATATCTTCGAGAACATAAATAAAGCATATTCGGTCCTAGCGTTCATAAATTCTCAATTATTTCACGAAAATTATGAGTAAATGAAAAGGCGCTGGATAGAATTTATCCATGCATGGAGCAACTTCTTAAGGTTTTAGAGTTTTTAGAATTCTAGGATTAAGACTCAACATAAAGAAAAAACGATATTAAATAATTTGTACACAGAAAACATTTTATAGTAAAAATTAGTATAAAACTTTGTAATTAAGAAAAATAGATTGGCATTCTGCAGTAGCTTATTATCCTCCTATTGCATATATGTGTATATTTATATTTATATTTATTTTAAGAATTTATATGTACTGTTAGCAAATCTGTTTCTAGCAAAATTTACGATACAAATTATTTTTTTAGTAAGACCTTCCTATCAGACTATTCCTGCATTACTGAAAATATAAAAAAATTGAAGAAAATTTATATAAAAAAAAGTTTGTAATTTCTTTATAATTGTTTAATCTTACTTTTACTCTTATATTTTCTTCATTATTCTTAAAAGAAACTGTCTCGTAAGGAAATAAATAAACATATATAAAAGAGGACTGTAATATTCTCTCCATGTATCATCAAGATGGAACAACACAACAATGTTATATCTCCAGATTTTTCATTTTTTGATTCTTCGATAGAATTTGTTATTATTATTATCCTTATTAGCGTTTATCGAGTATTTCCAGACATAAATTATAACAAATAATAACAATTTGCAAAGTTAATGCGAAACTATAATTTCGACGCGGCATCTTGATTGTAACTTTTCGAGACGTCATTTTCGAGAGTGGAATCAAATCAAATTAATTTATTTTCGGCGCGTTAAATATTCCAGACGAGATCTCTCCTCTCTCTCTCTCTCTCTCTCTCTCTCGTTGCGCCGAGCTTGCGACGAACGAGCTGTATTCCCAGCGGAAAGTAACGGATTCATCCCGCAAAGATTTAACGACGCGACGGTAATCGGAACTCGACAAAGCGACACTTTCGCGCGCATCAATAGTCGACAGTCGCGTCACGTCGTTCGCGAATATTCGCGGGTATCTCGTCAGCGGAGAGGACCGCGTACGATATCAGCTTTAATACCTTAATGCCGCGATTGTCGCGCACACGATGGGAGGTGGGTGGACCGGACAGTAGGTTGTGCTAATACGTGTAAATTAGGGGTTTCGTCCGCCTTTTGAGGCTTCCTCCGCCGCATTTACGAGCAGTTTTGTCGTGACTTCGCAGTCGCAACTGCAATTTACCGTCTGGCGGTGTATTCCGTCTCAGTTAGACCGTGTCTTTCCCGATCGATCGATCGATCGATCACTGCGCGCGCGAACGCATCTCGAAAAATGCATTCCGCACGGCGATACGAATTCGCGGGCTGACCGTGTCGAATGCGTAACGATCTATCGCGCACGACGGCGGGATTTCGCGTGCGCGATGCCAAGAGCATCTAAAATGCCCGCACTTTTGCGCACCGTCTCCTTCCATTGGCAAAAGTGCCAGCCTTCGAGCGGCTTGCCTCGTGCCAAGCTATTATATTACTCGTGGCCGTTGTCTCGGATTTTTCTCTTTTCCCTTCTTTTCTTTTTTTCTTCTTTCACTCTTTCTCGCAGTCGCAAGTCGCGCTAAAGCGACCCGGCTACTCGATTTTCGCCACCGTGGGGAAAACTCTGGCAGCACCGCAGTCGATTCCACCGACGTTTAATCAACCCGCGCCCGCGCGCGCGAAGGCATAATATCAAAGGTCGTAGCTTCTGCTCGGGCGAATCGTAAAAACCATAGTAATTGCGAAACGATGTCGGTCGAAAGGAACGGCTATGCCAAACTGTTATTGCCAACAGTAAAACTGTTCAAACGGCTACGTCGTCGACAACGACGACGACGACGATGACGAGGACGATGGCCACTAAAACGAGTACGAGGTCGTGGCTCGGCCGCAGCTGTTATTGCGCGTCAACGATTATAACGTTTCATAAGTTCATACGTAGAGCCCCGGCTAAGCGAAATATCAAATTGTAGAAAGTCGCGGAAGAAAGGGGCGTAATATCCGCATTACCTCGCATTGCCCCTCTCGCGACGCGATATATACCCTCGATTCTCGGGGATTTCCCCGAGATCAATACCCGGCGAAGACACGGAGAAAAGGAAATAATATCCGTACATCGTCACATCCTTAGGTGGGGCGGGGGATATAACGCTATAATAAGGTTGTACACTATTATTTGAAAGAGAAAGAAAGAGAGAGAGAGGGAGAAAAGTATTTATTTTAAGACATACACTCTCTAAGGTTTGTTAGTACAAAGTTACGTACAAAGTAAAGCATATAATTAATGTAATAAAGTTACAAGAAATAATATCTTGTACAATATTTGATATAGTATATTTATGATGTTTTTTTATAAATTGATATATTTTCAACGCACTTTGAGAAAATTTACCATCAATATAGATATTTGATGGATCATCAAACGTTTCCTTTTTTTATTGTGTAGCACATAATTATATACTTAAGGAGACATGCGAGCAAAAGAATAATAATAAGGGAAAATTTACTTTATAACCAGAGAGAGGGAGTGAGAGAGAAAGGGAGAGAAAGAGAAATCATACGCCCGTTACGCTCAGCCGCTCGCTCTATAAGTAATAAAATGCGTAATAAGATTTTTTTTCGTTTCGCCAAGTGCGCGTTGGAGCGTCGGGATTTCACGCTAAGTTTAACGATCCGTTTCATGAACGAAAAAGCCGATGCCGCGATATGCCGGCGCCGCTGAACGGATGGCGAGTCTCCTGTGCAAGTCAATCGCATGTATATGCATACGCAAAAAGAAACGAGAGTAACAAGAGCGATTATTATAATTACGCATTTCCTCGCGACCGCACTCCAGCCGAGTTCGCCGCCGCGGTCCGTTGCTTAACTCCGCTCGCCCTTACAAGACAAATTTTCACTCACTATGGTTTTCTTATGTAAATACGTTGCCGGGCACAATGGGATATAACACGCCCCGCGCCGGCGCTGAAACGATGCGGTAGGTCATCAAGTATTCAAATCACTTTTAAACGCGTATATAGTTATGAGTAACGCGCGGCTTAATTGAGCGGCGAAAGCACTTTTAAGAAGTCATCAACACCTATAAATTACGAGCAAAGTAGCGCGTTAAATTGCAGCCCGCACGTGTAATTTGGCGTTTTCCTTGATGTCTTATCTCCATCTCGCGTTACATACTAACCACTCGTCGCCGACATTTTCATTAATAGCGCGTGATGTAACGCATTTTCGTTACAACATCGAATGCTGCGTTTTTCCTCTTGCATTCGTAACAGGAAGCGGCTAATTATGCGAAACGCATAATTAAGATATCAGGAAGTCGAGGAATTTGCATGATAATGATAAGATTTGCATGATAGTTGATAATTCACGCAACGAATCTAAACGGAGAAATTACTTAATTGGAGTTTTTTCTTTAAATTACGTCAAATTACGGTGGACATGTGTTGCTCCGATGAAAAATGTACCGAAACTTAACAGAAACTTAAGTGAGATAATTTCCTGAAGAGTCGCAATACCGACATTCGGACAATCTCCTGAAGTACGATTTTATCGAAATATTGAAATTGTCTCGTGCGCGCCCCGCCATGTGTCTGTTCTTCGACAGACAGATGTACCTACATTTGGTGGCAACTTCTCCAGTCAATTTTGCGTTTCTTATGAGTGATTCATATAACAC